CTGAGGCAGGAGGATCGCTTGACCCCCAGGAGTTTGAGGTTGCTGTGAGCTAGGCTGACGCCATGGCACTCTAGCCTGGGCAACAGAGCCAGACTCTGTCTCAAAATAAATAAATAAATAATTCAAAAAATATGATAGCTATTTAATATACATAAACATGATCGCATTGGTGAATATGTAGATGACCAGTGGTTCTTGGGGCAATAAGATCTTCATTCTCCCTCCTCCTTTCCTGCTTGTATTTATATTTTCAAAATTATCGTCAAAAATCCTGTTACTTTTGTATTATCAAAAAGAGAGGAGGGTATTTTGCTTGTCTGTTCACAGAGGAAGTCTGAAGCTGTGCTGGGGCTGTAAGAATAGGACTTGGCCTAAGGCAAAATCGTGGCAGATGACGTGCTGAGAATGTAGCCCCTTCAAGCCCAGTTGGGGGTAGGGGATGCCCGGCCACTCTAGATGTGACTCTGTCCTGGGGTCAGCAGTGAGTGTCCCACGATGTCACCATCTCTCCTCCTTGCCTTGACCCAGTGGGGTTGTCAGGTGCCACGACCGCGGCCACGATAGCGGCCACGATAGCGGCCCTCTCGCAGTCTGCATTTCAGTTTGCACCTTCGCCATCTCTGCTCCTCTCCTCCATGTAGGTTCTGGAGCCATCGTTGCTGCCGTCGTGGTGGTTGTCATCATCATCTTCACGGTAGTTCTGATCCTGCTGAAGATGTACAACAGGTACAGGATGCCCTGGGCTTTGCAACTGTCTGGTCCCTCCAGTGACACCAGGAAAAATGGGAACTAACACCTGTGGGTGCCTGTTGTGTGCCCGGCAGTGTCCATGAGCCGTTAGCAAATGCTCTGCCCCTTGCAGGTCCTTTTTGAAGTCTGTTCTGCTGCAGAAACTTCACAGTGACTGAATATTTTTGTACTTGGAAAGATATTTTTTAAATGTAATAAGGATAATGACAATGATAATGGCCTTAAGCACCGTGGTAAACACTTGTATGTCATTTGCAGATAACAGACAATGTTTTAGTCCACTTCTCTCGGAGACACTCTGCTAGGTTGCATGAGCAGCCACATAAGTGTTTGAGGTGATGAACACTGGAAGCGCACATACCCCAACTCCACTTTCGGGGACCAAATAAGGGGAAATGAAATACTGTAATTTGATCATGTAAAGAATAAATCTTACGTGGTATCACCTTCTACTCACAACTTTGCTAGGTTATTCTTTTCAGGGAAGAAATAAAAATTAAAAGGCTATTAAAAAAAACCCACATCATAGAAGACAAGGAAGCCATTTTTTTAAAAAAGATACTGTAGAAGTGTATGTATTGATGAGGACAGCTTTACCATATAGTGTCAAAGTTTACAAAACCGTACATACATTATGATCATACATGCAGTTTACACACACATACCAAGGAAGGTCAACACAGCAAGGTGTTAACAACCAGTGTGTCTGTGTGATGGGATTGTTCGTTAGTAAATTAGTGTGTTCTTGCTGGGAGAGGGATGTTCCTTATTTTCAAGGAGTAGTAAACATGCATTGTTTTTATGATAATATGAATATTATTTATAAAGGTAGCTAATGTATTGATGTCATACTATGTGCCAAGCATGGTTCTAAGCTCTTGACATGTATGAACTCATTTAATCCTCACAACCACCCCACAAGGTAGGGACTACTATTATCCTCAATTTTATATGTATTGGAAACAGATACAGAAAGATTAAGTCACATGCCTAAAGTTGCCCAGCCCTAAATGGCAGAGTTGGGTTCAAATCCAGTCTATGTGGTATCAAAGGAAATACTCCCACCATTACATGTAATAATAATAACATTAAAAATTATTTCTAAAAATCCTTAGGATGTTACAATTTGGGTCTATCCCAAACCAGGAAGTGGCATCAAGCCCCAGTATCTACCCTACATTCCTCTCCATCGTCGCTGGAGCTCCAAGCCCTTTTCTAGGTCGTAATCCGGATGGAGACTTCACTCACCCCACCCTACTTACACTGATGCCTGGGGTGGGAATTGAGAGACCTGGGTTCAGTCTATGGTTTGTCACAACCGGGCAAGTTATTTAACCTCTCCTTGCCTTTATTTTGTCATTTTTAAATTGCAAGAGTCTCAAAGTGTGATAAATGGATTACGGATATATTGGAGCATGTCCTTGTTCTTAGAAGTATTTAGGAGTGAAGTAGCATGATGTCTGCAACTAACTCACAAATGGTTCATGAGTTTAAAAAAAATTGTGTGTGTGTGTGTGTGTGTGTGTGTGCGCACATGCGTGCATGCAAATGGTACGGGGGAGAGAAAAGAAAGCAAATGAAGCAAATTGTTAACAATTGGTGAATTGTTTGCCAAAGGGTTGTCTTGGGCCATTTTGTGCTGCTATAACAGAATACCTGAAACTGGGTAATTTATAAAGAATAGAGATTTATTTCTTACAGTGCTGGAGGCTGGGAAGTCCAAGATTGCAGAGCTGGCATCTGGCAAGGGCCTTCTTGCCCGGTCATCCTGTGGCAGAAGGGCAAAGAAAGGAAGAGAGAAAGCAAGAGATCAAACACAGCCTCAAGGCCTTTTATAATAGGCATTAATCCATTCACCAAGGTGGAGCCCTCAAGACCTAAACACCCTCCATTAGGCCCCGCCTCCCACACTGTTGCATTAGGGATTAAGTTTCCAACACATGCTTTATAGGGGACACATTCAAACCATAGCAAGGGTATTCGAGTATTTATTGTACTATCTGTGCAATTTCTCTGAGCATTTGAAATTTTAAAAAAAGAATTATGTATCAACAAGATGAAGTATCATGTAGACATTAGAATTCAGGATTGTTGTTAGTTATTGAATTTTATGGTATATTAAATGAAATAGGATATACATTTTTAAGTACATTCGCTTTTCAACTATGTGAAAAGCTCTTAAATATTCCTAGCAATAAACAGCAAGTATAATGAGGCTGCAAATTTTAATGCACACTGCAACGCTGAACAGAAAAAATGTAATATCTTCATTTTGTCTTTAATATTGCCACCTATCTGACACTTTACTCATTCATTTATAGGAACAAATAAAATTAAACATCTAATCTAAGTTAAACTAAAAATTGAAAGGCAGACTAAGTCCCTTCCAGTTCTGTAGGTGGCAATTAAGCGATGTGATTTAGTGATGATTAACATTAATCTCTTCACCAGAACTGTAGTCACAGAACTCATTCCCCACAGCAAACGAGGAAAAAGACTCAACCATGTATGCATATCTCATTACAGGAAAATGAGGACAAGGCGGGAGCTGGAGCCCAAGGGCCCCAAGCCAGTTGCCCCTTCTGCCCTGGGCCCAAATGGCAACAGCAGCCAGCAGCCTGCAACTGTGACCTTCAGCCCTGTTGATGTTCACGTGGAGACTCGGTGACCTCTACCCTGGTGCTATCTCTGCCACTGTCCAAAGAACCTTCTCCAGAGGGAAGACCCAGAAGCACACTTCTCTGGTAGCTTCACCTTGAGTTGCTTCTGGTTAGGTCGACAGAGGCATCTTTTATGCAATCCCTGATGCTTCAGGCAATCCTCAACCTCCTTCTGCCCTGCCCTACTCCAACTATGTCCATATCCCTGCTGCTACCCTACCAAAAAGCTGCAGAATATTCTTTTGTCATCTGATGAGGTAGAGCTGTGTTGGGAATCCACTAATGTGGGTTTGGCTCTCCCCCCACAAGACTATAGCTAGACAGACAGATAGACAGACAGACATAGAGCCATGAGTCTTCTGGTCAGCGGTCAGGGGTCAGGAAATGCTTCTGAGAGTGTCCCAATAGGATCTGCCACTGGGATCATATCAGATTAAATGCATACCCACAGCTTTGCAGAGCAAGATATTCAATCCCATAATGAGGCACAGGGAAACTAACTTGGACTAACTAACCAGAAAACCAATTGTTAATTTATAACTTGTCCCAGTACTAGATGACCACTAGCTAACTCATGACAATTGGTCAGCACATTTTTCCCTCTTTAAGAAAGCTTAGGGGAGGCAGGGTGGCAAAAAAAAAAAAAGAAAGAAAGAAAGAAAGCTTACAAGAAAAAGCGAGTTCATCTCAAAAGGTTTCTGCTTTATCAGGAGAAGGAATAGGCAACCTTGAGGAATAATGGCCCCTAGGATAAGAGCTTGTTGCATTGCCATGGGCCCAGAACAATCCTGGTGGCTGGTCAGGGCTCCTTCTCCCACTACAGGCTGGACCAACCCTCAGTCTCATTTCTTTGCTCCCCTGTATCTGGATTCTAAGTGACCTTGACTATAACACCTTACCTCTGAGGGCCAGTGTTTGGAGATTGATTAGATTATGTTTCCGATGTCCTTCCTGGTCACTTTGCAAAGAGTCAAGGCATATTCAAAGTACCACATTCACAAACCATTTCTCTGTAGGGAGCTGATCTATGACTCCTTAGCCTGGAGAACAATCTACTACCGAGAAGGGAAAGTATCTTGGAATTAAGAAGATGCCATCCAAGCTCTACTTCCTGGTTGTGTGGTCTTGGAAAAGAGACTCAACCTCTCCACATTCAGTTTCCTAACCAGGAAGTGGAAACGACAACATCTGCCTCACTGGGTTATTATAACAAGCCAAGGACTTAGTAAAGCAGCTCGAAGATAGTGCCTGGCACCCAGCAGATGCTTAATAAATGGGGGCCAGCATTATTATTATGGGTTTTCTTCAATTGCAAGATATGCATTTGTTCACATTTTAATGATTCTGAAATCAGAATGTCTTACAATTGATGGATCTGTTAGTATAATTGTATTTTTTTCTCTTCCCTCTCAAAATTGTTTTTAATCAATTGTGTATCTTACAATTGATGGTATCTTGGAAACAAGGTAATAAACTTTTATTCTGTTACAGAAAGTGACACTCTGACATGTAACCTCAAATCCTGGAAGTCTCTCTCTTGGGGTCAGAAATCCCTTTTGAGGGGAAATTGAGAGCCAGGGAGGTAAGGCAGGCCCTAACCCAGGGCCACACAGCTCATGTAGTTGCACTGTAAAAACATTCAGTGGAATAGCTCTGGAGAAATGCTGGCAAATTCTTTCTCCCCAGCCATCATTGCTTCCTACTGTGTTTAACTATCCCCCAAATACCAGGCACTTTGCAAGCTGCTTCCACATAAATTGTCTCATAGGATTTAATTTTCCCATTAACTCTGGGAGCGATTATCTTTTCCATTTGCAGATGAAAATTTCTGACTCAAAGAGGAAAAAAAAGTACTTGCCAAAATCACATAACTAGTAAGTTGTAAAGACAGAACTCAAAACCAGGTCTCTTGACTCCAAAGTCCACCTTTTTGTCATATCACATTCCCGCCCTGCCACCCAGGCTCAAAGAAGCCCATATTCTTTTGTGAGCTGAACAAGAAGAAGACAGGCTTGTGCACGTGTTTGAGTGGAAGTCAGGGGTGTAGCCCAAGCCGAAAGTGAGGGCAAAATCCACTTCGGTAGCCTCCTTCAGGCTTCCACGATCATAGCCAAAGGAGCCGTTTCTCAAACCACCCAAGCTCTAAGGATTCCTACTTCATTCACCCTACCGCGTAGGCCCAAGGAGCAAGGGTGGAATGGAATCCAACCAGGGCAAAGCCATTTCTTTGAGGACTCAGGCCCCAAGCAGATATGCTTCCCAAAGCATACTGCTTTGAAAAAAAATAGGAATATTTCAGCTCTAAAACTGGACTTTTCTGCCCACTATGGAATTTTCCGGGAGTTATCCTCTAATATATGTTCTTTTGCTAAAAGAAGGCTTGAAAATGGAGGAAAAAGGGGGAGACAGAGTGGTGAGGGGAAGGCAAATAAAAGGATTTTCGTGTTTTGTTTTTGACCCATGGAGATAATTCAATAAATATCCTCTAAGAAGGGTTCCTATGTGCAAGTTGAGGTGCTACTAAATACACTAAGACTCGCTCCCTGCTCTAAAGAGTCAGCTGGGCTCATGGCAGGGATGGTACAACACAGTTATGTACTTTGTTTCTGACGAGGTGCCTTTATTAACCGAGTGGATGCTGCCTTATTTGGCCACTGAATCAATAAAAGATATTAAACGCTTAAAGAAAAATGTCTAAGAATAAAAAGGTTTAAATCAAATATGTTGAGTTGATTTCAAATACCTTTTCTAAAACTTCCCTTCCCCGACCATGTAAATAGAGTCCTATGGAAAAGCCTGAGTCTTTTCAAATATTGTATTATAACTTCTAAAGCCTAAAGGAGGCCGGCCACAGTAGCTCATGCTTGTAATCCCAGCACTTCAGAAGGCTGAGGTGGGAGGATCACTTGAGGCCTGGAGTTCAAGACCAGTCTGGGCAAAATAGCGAGACCCCATCTCTAAAAAAAAAAAAAAACTTCGGCGTAGTGTTGCACACCTGCAGACCCAGCTACTCGGGAGGCTGAGGCAAAAGGATCACTAGAGTTTGAGGTTGCTATGATCCTGCCACTGCAGTCCAGCCTGGGTGAAAGAGCAAGACCCTGTCTCAAAAAAAAGAGAAAAGACTGATGGAAGGCCGGGCACGGTCACTCACTCCTGTAATCCTAGCACTCTGGGAGGCCGAGGCGGGAGGATTGCTTGAGGTCAGGAGTTCGAGACCAGCCTGACCAAGAGCAAGACCCCATCTCTACTAAAATTAAAAAAATTAACCAGGTGTGGTGGCACACATCTGTAGTCCCAGCTACTCAGGAGGCTGAGGCAGGAGGATCACTTGAGCCCAGGAGTTTGAGGTTGCTGTGAGCTAGGCTGATGCCACGAGTCTGGGTGACAGAGCGAGACTCTGTCTCAAAAAAAAGAAAAAAAAAAGACTGATGGAAAACACTGTTATCATGTCACTTCTAAAGACTGAAGGTAGGCTGCCATCAACAGACCTTTCTGTGAATTAGAAAAGTTTGTTATCTTACTCAAATATGACCAAAGGAATCCCATTTCACAGTCTGCAGTTAAACACAAGAGGTGCTGAGATGCCAAGGTTTGGAGACCGCTGGGATTATAGGAGACCTTAAAATGAACTCCAATCATCAATAACAATGTTTACCACAAATTAAGCTCCTGCTGTGTGCCAGGCAGATGATAGCTCCTTTAACCCTTACAACTTCCATCCATAGAAGCCATCACTATCTCTATTTTATGGAGGAGGAAACTGGTGTAAGGAGGTAACTTGCCCTTGGGTGATGCAGTGGACGTTTGTCATTCTTTTAGTGACCATTGTCATGTTTGGGGAATCGTCTACTTTAAGAGGCACAGCCACCTCCTGCCATGAAAGCTGAAGAGGCCAGATACTCATTTTCCCAGAGTCCCTTGCAGCTAGCACGACGGCACATTGCCTAAACTCTGCTAATCAGACATTCCTGCCATGGACTTTAAATCTAAAAGCTGGTAACAATAAAGGGGCAGGAACTGTGCAGAATCTGCCCTGGTGACAGGTGTATGGTACCCTCCATTTCAAGAGGCAGGGATTCTAGTGGCAGTATGGCATCATTATTGAGTGTTCAGACCCACTCTGTCCCTGGAGTTGGTTACATGAGCCATGCACAACAGCAACAGTAATGGCGTCTACACCAAAGGAGTTACTTAGTATGGTTTGGGGCATACCTGGCAGCATACCTCTGAGCCTGGCTCTGGCCTTCAGGAGATTCTGGCAACTACCTGATCTCCTTTTCTGATTAAATGAGCAGAATCACTTCCTGCTGCAAGTAGCTAAGAACCAAACAGCTGTGGGGTACTTGCTCATGGTCACTCACCTGGGAAGTGGCTGGCACTGGAACCTGGGACTCCAAAGCTCTTGCTCTTTCCATACAGATGCTTCTAGATGAGGCTAAATCATCAGAGGATTCCACAAAGTGCTGTGGAATCACAGAGAATGTGGAGTTGTCTCCAATTACAGGTACCCAGAGACTTTGTGAATTGGTGCATATTGGTGGAGAGAGGTATTTTAAAAGAGTCTGGGAGAATGGGTAGGATCTTGGAAGTAAAGTTTTTTTTTTTAACTGAAATTCAACACACATGCTTGAAAAATTTTGCAGGTCAAAAAATTTCCACAAACTGAGCACACCTATGTAGCCAGCATGAAAATGAAGAAGTAAAACATTACCAGACTCCAGAAATCTCCCTTTCCTCCTGTTCTATTCACCTCCCACAAAGGGTACCCACTATCCTGACTTTTACCCCATAGAACAATCTTTTCTGTAAGTTGAATAATACAATGTAAGCTCTTTCGTTTCTGGCTTCTTTCTCCTAACATTGTGCTTGCGGTATTTATTCCTATTGTCACAGGTAGAGATCATTTATTCTCATTGTGGTAGTATTTCATTATGTGAATATAGCTACATTTTATTTACCCACTCTACTCTCTGATATACATAAAGGTTGTTTGCAGTTTGGGTCTGGAACAAGTAATGCAACTATTAATATTTTGGTGATTTGTCACTTACGCTTTTAGTTTCATGCCTAATCCAAGGTCCCAAAGATTTACTCCTATGTTTTCTTGCAAGAAGTTTATAGTTTTAGATTTTACATTTAAGCCTATGATCTATTTAGAGTCAATTTTTGTACATGATGTGATTAAATTTTATATATGGTCCAACTTCATCCATTTACATGTAGATATTTAGTTGTCCCAGCACCATTTGTTGAAAAGACAATTTTTCCCCATTGAATTATGTTGGTACCCTTGTAAAAATCAGTTGACCATAAATATGAGGGTTTATTTGTGGACCTTGAGTCCTATGCCATTAATCTATATTTCTATTCTTATACCATTATCACACTATCTTGATTTTTAGTAAGTTTTCAATTCAGGAAATGTGAGTTCTCCAAATTTTTTCTGACCTCCATCTTTGTTTTTCTTTTTCAAGATTATTTTAGCTATTCTGGGTCCCCTCTATCTCTATATAAATTTTTCTATCAGCTTGTCAATTCTGCAAAAGGCAGCTGGGATTTTG